TAAGTGTAGTTTTGTAGATATAGTTAAACCAACCAATCACATCTGTTGTTGTAAATTTTATCTCATTGTCTCATACCAATGAAAATAAAGTAAAAATAATAATAATAATGAATGTTTAAATTTTTTAATTGACATCACATGTTTTTATTTGTTCCGGACAGAATATCAGATAAAATATGGAATAACATATCTCTATTTATAATTAAACATTTATTTTATTTTATTTTTCTAAACTTTTCTGCCACCCTGGCATTTTTTCTAATATGGTAGCCATGGCTACCATTTATGGTAAAATAATTGTCATATGTAATTAATTTTGACTTATACTAATTGAAATAGCTAATATGCATCAGAGATTTATATATTTGACAATGGCATGTGCATGCATCATTACATCTCAACGGTAAATGTAGTAATAAATTAATTTATAATTCAACTATTAGCAGTTACCATAATCTGAAAGTTGATCAATGACGTGAGAGATACATTGTACCATCAATGAAAGGAATAATAAGGACTCTTGAAGGTCTAGTACAAGCTGAGATAGAGACATGTGTCATTGTAAAAAATTTAATGGTATATATTTTATCAATTAAAAAAAGTATTTTTCAAAATATTTTGGGCTTCATATTCTAGTATTGGACAGTTAGAGAGGATCCCAACTCCATTGAAAGAGGGTCATAATTCAGGTTTTTATTATATATCTCAAAATTGCGTTTAAGATTCTATAAGTGTGAAAATGACAAGCAAATGAATGGGACGCAGAAATAACTCACCCTTTAAGATTCTATCTATGGAGTTGGTTAAACGATGCTTAAATCGATCTTTAGATTTTGATTACACGTATCCTTAATTTGATGCCAGATTCATCATTTTTTTCTTTATTTTGCTTGCATGTCTTCATTTTTAATTAATTAATAGTCACATTACCAATATAGTTATCATTTTAGAATTAATATAAATTCAGTACTAATATATTATTTAGTTTGAATATGGTTTCGAATTGCTAATGGATGTAGAAGAGGTTGGTTGGAATATGGGTGTTTCTCCTATATGCATGTAAGAGCTTGCCTTGAATTGTCTTGGATGTTTACCTAAAAAGAGATTTTGACATCGACACTATTAAAGTTTGGTATGAGTCATGAAAGAAGTTTTCTTGATTAACAAGAAATATGAGAAATGAAAGAAAGCTTAAAGGAAACTTAAAGAAAAAATGAAATAATGAGAGAAAGAAAAGATAATGAATAACATCTCGTTATTGTGATTATTCTTATTATGATTAAAATGAAATGAATGAGTAAGATTAGGGATATGCCCTTCATATACAACTTCTACACTAAACCACAAAAACAGAAAACTGAATCTGTTAGCCAGATAATCGATTAACTCTGTTGATAATCAATTATCGAATACAAAGTTTATTTTAACAAATTGAAGCAACTAATAAGATAATCATTTTAAAATGAACTTTCACTCTCACACGTCATTCTTTCTAGCCTCCAACCAATACTTTCTGATATTCAAGAAGAACGTGTCCAAGAACTTAGCTGGTGCATGGTGCGTTGGTTCTTCTCATGATTGCCTTGTTCAACATAGTTATCTTATTAATGAGAATAAGATTATATTATTACTTGCTTCAGTTTGTTAAAATGAACTTTGTATTCAATAATCGATTATCTGACTAACAGAGTTAACCGATAATCAATCTAAGCTTTCTTTTATTTCTCATATTTCTTACTAATCAAAAAAATTTCTTTCATGACTCATACCAAACTTTAACAGACAAAGTGGTTGATGCTATTACTCTTGGTGTATTTACAAGTTTGGATAGTATGTGAGCTTGAGTGTTATGCTCCATTGGGACATGCCATATGGTTGTTTCCTAATTGGAGTCCGACTATGTAGGCTTCATACTCCACCTACTTGTTGGACGTAGGAAAAATTAAGGTCAAAGAGTGTTTGGTTGCCATTCTTCACTCACTGTCCAAGAAGTATTGTTTAAGCCTTATAATAGGCTATGCACATGGTGGTCGCTCATAGTTATTAGACAGAAATGACATGAAAAATGTGTTCATTAGCTCATAATATATGCTAATTTATTGGCGGATTTTTCTAACAAGTAGGGTGGGCTACCGATAGGTATTATAATCTTAATTAAGTATTATTTTTTTATTTTATATTGGACTTTAAGTATATGTAATGTTAAATTGTTTGAATTAATATAATTTGTTATGCTTAATCTTAAAATGTGATAATAGTATAAGAATATGTTTTTAATTTCTCTTAATTTTATTGTATTTTTTATTATTATTGTAAACTAGCGTGTCGACATGCACTTCGTGCATGCTGACCCGCATTCTTATTTTCTAATATTAAATATTTCATTTTAGAGAAATATATCATTTTTTTGTATTGACTGTTGTACATGATATTATAATTTATGTAATAAAAAAATATGAAAATGAAATTTGATATTATTAAAACCTATATTAAAAATTACATTGGTGACTTGATATTTTTTATATATGTAACCTATACTAAAACCTATAATTTTGATATTTCTTCTATTGTGTGGTAAACATTGTATTAATAGTTAATTAGAAGGGCAAAATAGGCAATAAAAAATTATATCATGTAGGTAGTTATTAGAGATTTTGCCTTTATATATAGTATAAGTATATATAGTATAGTTGTAATAATAGGGGAAAATAGGCAATGAAAAATTATGTCATGTAGGTAGTTATTAGAGGTTTTGCCTTTATATATAGTATAGATATATAGTATAGATATATAATAGATAAGAGACAACTCGCAAGCCCTCTCTACCCATATTTAGGTCGTGTAAGGCATAACCACATATATTTCATCCGCTTTTTGCAAATAATAATGTGTGCCCTAATTTAGATAAATATTACATGGGCATGAGAATGTGGACCCAAATTGCTAATGCTACCTAGAAATATAAGAAAGACTAGTAAGATAAAAATTTCACTAACACTATTTTAAAATATTTCAAACTGTGACATTAATAATGATCACAAGTACGGAAAATCTTCATAAAAAATAATAATATACATTCATAATCATAATACATCATCTTATAATATATAATTAATAACTTATACAAGATCGATTAGAATAGAAGTCTCACACAAATAATAACATATCCAATTAGCAATTAATTGTCTAGAACCTAAGTTGATGGTTAAATGTGTACCCATATTACCGGCTATAGTTGTGTACCCCTAACCCATTGCAAAATTTTGAATTCAACTTTCCATCATTTCTAAATACATGTGTTGCTTAAGAAAGTATTTTGCCAAAATCAAATAAATCTACTATCAAATTGTTTCTTACTTCTTGAGGCATTCTAGATGTTTCCTATTTGCCTGGAATTAAAGATAAATAACAAGTTATATAAGAAATATAAATTCAATAGACACCATATATAATCTACAATGTTGATTTTCAATAAAGGAGAACAGAGCCTTAAACAGAAAAAGGAAACCAAAGTCATAAGGTTTTCTTCAAATCAATGCCATTAAAAAATAGAAATAAGGCAAAGCTAACAAAGAAACCAGTGAAGTAGTTCAACTCATTGTAACATAACATAAACTGGAATAAGTCAATATCTAATAAATAACGTTGACTATGGTGAAGTAATTGTAACCCTGATACAAATAACATTAAGCAAATTCCTCTAGTGTCCAAAATTAAAACTACATGACAGTTGATTCAAACCTTAAAGTCAATCATCATGAAGATAAATACAACAATCCCTATTTCCAATCGTCTTTAAATAAGCTTCTCGGCCCTTAAATAGTCTTATAAAAATAGGTGAGATCCGAAATTTTGTTATATAAGATGGAACAAATTTTGTTATCCCAAAAAGTATGTTTATAAATGACATATGAAAAGGAGGACATATTCTTTCCCAAAATATTGTACAACTCTTTCTAATTAGTCAAAAAAATATTTAATTATTTTTTTTTAATTAATCAACAAATCACAAGTAGTGATACATATATAGTGTACTCCATCGTATAGGAATGAAGATCATCTATCCAATTTTTTGTGTCCTAATATGTCACAATACACTTAAAATTTGCCACGTAATTATAAAGAAAATAAAAAAGAGAAAATAATTTTTTACATTCCTTGATGCAGCGTGATTGACTTGGAAATGGGGATGGAGATTTTTTGGGACAGTTGATCCTTATTCCCCATATAGAGCAGTGTTGTGATAACCGGACCGGACTGAACGGACCGACTGGTTCGATCGCTGGCCGGACTTGAAAACGGCTCCGTTTTGCAGTCTTAATTGAATGAGTAGTTGGACCACTTTGAACCGGAGAAATTTCGGTTCGACTGTGCTAAGTTCGGTTAAACCGTAATAACTCGGGGGAAAAACCGGACAATTCACTTAAAATTTAAAAAAATGGAACATTACTCTAATATTTTGTTTTATTTCGGTCAAAATAAAGTGAGGTTACTTCAATATAATTATATAAAATTTAACATTTATATATAATTATATATTTATAGGAAAAAAAATATTAATTATATTTAAAATCATCAGGTCCGACCGGACGATTTAACTGTTTAAACCGATTAGACCTAATACGAAAGCTCTTTCGGCTTAACGTCCGACTTGGGTTTCACAACATTGATATAAAGTATCACTTTTTAGATTGGTACATTGACCAAGACCTTCTACTATCTACCCCATTGTTGATGATTCAGTTCCGCATTTACCCTTGAAACGTGGCAATTCCTATACCTAGGATAATGTCTCATACTATGTTGGAACTTGGAAGGTAGAAGGGTTCTAAGCTTAACATCTCATGATTATGCTTCTATGATCACCACTTTGTTACTTCCTCTTAAGCATCAAAATAACAAAGGACAATGTTTTATTACATTTTAGGATTTTGCTTCTACTACCATAATGCAATACTTCAATAACAGCTTGTTCTAAAGAATGAGAAGAAAAAAAATTGAGTCTGTCAGACAACCTCGCAACCATCCCAATCAAGGAACCCTCACTAAGAATGATCCTCCACAGCCACAGATGGCACTCTCCAATGAGAGACCATCAGAGCCATTAATCACGCTCTGATCACACGACCATGATTCATCAACCAGACTTAGGTTATTGTCTCCTTAAAACTCAAGGACACAATGATACGATCCAATAGAACAGATCTAGGGATGGCAGCAGGCACGAGTAGACCATATATTGTATTCTTGATTTCTATATTGCACATAGCGATACATAGGAAATTGACGGATTCTCTTCATAGACCATAAAAAATAGGTTATTTTCATATAATAATTAAATATTTAATTGAACAAGTCTCACATATAAAGTTTCATGCAATTAACAATGTTACCATTTTAATGCAAACTAGGGTCTACTCCATATTTAATGAAATATATTGGAATTTTATTATATCTCTTTCTAAGTCGTGTACCCGATGGTCAATCAAAAATTGAGTCATACCAATATTCATTGGCTCGAAGTGGTTGTCTTATTTAAGGCAAATTTGCTCTATTTACCTTGCCCATCAACCACAAATCTATTCAGCCTCTTAGTCTATTAAAAATTAATTCAAATAATCACATAAATGATGCACATGTGGACTGGTATGAGATAACAAAGCAATTAAAGTCTTCAACGTGTCGGTCATTGATTGTGTTTGTCTCTTAAACGCACTTGACTTTGTACGTGTTTGTCTCTTAGACTCACGTGTCACTTGACACAGTCGATCCTCGGATGCGCTTGGTCCTTAAACGATCTTATTTCTTTCGACGTGAGAAATCATCAAATGAGCTTAGTCCTTTAAATGCATAGACCACACTACAAAAGATTTCTTAAGATATTTAGCTTTAAACATTCAAGAAAATATTTGTCGTCTTGTAGCTCAGTCCTAGGTAAATCTCCATTTCCCTTTTATATATTATTGTATTTGATATTATTTCTATAATTTATATTATTTAATATATTTTTATTAAAATAATAATTAAAGTCAATAATATTTATTAATTAGGTAAGATTAGTAAGAAATGTTTTAAATATATTATTTTAAAGGGATTGAGAGGAGGGATATAGCTAATGTAATTCCTCTCATTTCTATTATATATGCTATCTATTAGGACAGAGAACAAATTATGGTCGAGGTTATCTATTTTCTATTAACCCTATTAATTACTCCAAATATTAGACTAAAACTTACTTGAGAATTTGATAGTAAGGTCAAGACTCGTGTCATATCTTACTTTCAGCTCATGATTGAGAAGCGACTTTGTTCATTTCAACTATCGCTATCTTCAGTCGAAGCAGGAAGGTGGTTCACAATATATGTTGTCTCTTTGCAATTAATTCACTTTCGATAAATAAAAATAATTTATTTATTAAAAAATAAAAATTAATCTAATTTTTTTCCTTACATAATTAATAAAATTTACTTGGGAATTTAATAATAATATCACTATCATGTCATATATTAATTTCGGCTCTAAGGTCAGAAGCAATGGCACTGATTAGTGCCACCTCTACCATCTCTCGAAGTATGAAGAAGTTTCACAATCAATTACATAATACTTTTGATGAAAATTTAATATTACTTACTATTTGTTAAACTAAGTTGAGAATTGGAAGAACAATCACAATTAATATCATCTCTTTCCTTTCTGTCTGGGTTGAGAAGTTGTTCGAATCATTACTTATGCCTCTGTCATCTCCCAAATTACTGAGTGAGACGTACGATGTGTTTCGTATCTTCCAACCTCGATTAATAAAGGTCAAACCAACTCATTAATCAATCAAAAACTATGTAGACTTGATTTCTATGTTGTAGATAGCGATACATAGGAGATGGATAGCATCTCTTCATAGACCCTAAAAAAGATAGGTTATTTTAATATAACTAGCAAGTAACTCGTGCATTTGCACGAGACAATATTTTTTTGTTGTATGATTAAGAACACGCATTACATGTGCATTCATATGGTTAAGAACATACACGCTATTTATGCGTTTGCATGGGTTCGTGAAGACATGTTAGCTATACACTTTTGTATTTTTTTATCGATTTTGATATTATATAGTGTATATATTTTGTTAACTAATAAATACAATAAAAACTTATATTGATCATTCTTAATATAGACGTACATATGGAGAACTTATTTAGTTTTATGATTTATTGTGATTATTTCTTAATGTAACTTGTTTATAATTTCTTTTATTTCTAGGATATTATTTCTTATTATTAGTTGTTAGTATAATTGGTTTATTATTTCATTTTTTTAAAGTATACAAAATGGGAAATTTTAATTAATTACTTAGATTTTTTTCAAAATAAATACAGATTTAATCATTTAGTATGACAACTTTGATAATAATATTTTAATAGATAGAAATGAAATTTTAGTAATAAATGACTATTGAAATATGAAAGTTGTAATTATATAGTTCGATACATTTTCAAAATAATGGAAGCCTTAATTATTTAGAATCAAAACTGCTAAAATATTTTAAATATAGTAATGAAAATATATGAACAATATTAATAAATGGAAATATATATTTAATTTTTAGTTTTTTTTTTAAATAAAGCATATATATTAATTTGCATGTAGTGATTACTATACATTATTTTTCATCTTGAATAACATCATCGATCTCACCAATAAGTACCGCATTAATTGATAATATATGTTTTTATTCCCTCATATTCATCACTTTTATTTTTTTCTTAATGGTCGACGGTATTTATTCAAAGTAATTATTAATTAATAATTATTAGTTTGCAACTGATCAGCGATATTTATTCAATGTTATCGATATTTATTCATTTATTCAATTACAAATTACAATAGTATAATAAAATTTATTGTCATTATTCACCTCTGCATTTTTTATTCCCTTATGAATTTTATTTATTGTCATTCTAATATGTTTTATCTTTCATTATTCACATTAATTAGTATAATAAAATTTATTGTCATTATTCACCTATGCAGTTTTTATTCCCTTATGAATTTTCTTTATTGTCATTCTACTATGTTTTATCTTTCATTATTCACATTAATTACTCTTAAATCTCGAGAGTAATTCTCTCCAACCGTTATTATTCCATAATTATCCACAATTTATATAAATGACAATTTTAGTACTTGAAAAATTTGTGCGGATGTAAAAAGAAAAAAAAACAATAGGTTAGAATTTATGATATTTTATTATCTTTAATTAACAATTAATAAAATTCACCTATGTAACATGAGAAATGGTCCATTGGAAATCCAAACATTAGTGTTTTTGTGAGGTATTAAAAAATTATTATGTCATTTTTTAATAAATATATAACATATGTAATGGTTAATAATTTCAATGAAAGTATAAAATGAAGAAAAAATGTACTCATAGTATATTTTAATTAGATAACAATAAATTTTGTTTTTATCATAACATAGACTCAAAGGTAAAAGAATGTGATTAGGTTAACTTCCATGAATAGTTGCACATTTCTTCTTAGAAGAATGAATAAACTTTATATTTTTGACATTTGAATTATTAAAAGACACATAATCAAATATCACATATGAGGATGAAACATAAATCAAAAGAAATTTAAGAGGAGGATACACTCTAGGTGTTTATAACAACATGCAAAACAAAAAATGAAAATACTGATTATTTGAATAAAAAAGTGTATAAAAATAAAATAAGAGATGAAGATAGAGAAAACTAACTTGTGAAGATGTTCTGAAGGGAGAACCAAAATGAAAATGAAAAGATAAAATGATTAAGGTAAAATATGATGAATAGATAAATACGTTGTAGTAAAGTATTGAATCTTTGAATAAAAGATATATAAATAAAATTAGAAATTAAGAGGAAAAAAAACTTAAAGGATAAACAAACTACAAATGATGAGAGAAAATGATATCAGTGAGATATGATGAAAAGATAAATATGTTAATAACAAAAGCAAACAAACAACTAACAACCATAAATTTTGAAGGTTTGATCGTACTCGTGAATGATATTATTGTTTATAAGAAGCTAACGAAGAGAACCATTAGAAGAGCAGATCTACAAAATAATGAAATCAGTTAGAACACATGTACAAAATAAGGAAATCAATGAAAAATAAACAAAAAATCAATGATAAAATAAGAACAAAATCACAAAATAAGAACATATATACAAAATGAACAAAAAATAAATAAAAAATGCAATTTAAATATGAGATATACAAAATAAGAATAGATCTACAAAATAAATAAAAAAAATCAACGAAAAAATGTATTATACTTGGTGATTAATGAAATGAAACAGGAGATAAAGAAGATTGTTAGAAGAAAAACATATGTACCTGATATTTAATAGAAATTAATATAAGAATATGAATGTAGGGAAAATGAAGAAATATAAGAATTGATTTAGGGAAAATGAAGAAAGATTTTTGGAGAGGAAAAGAATATGAGAATATGAGAACATGAGAATATGAGTGAGTGTTTGATAGAAAAAATGAAGGATTAATAGAGTGTGATGAAACATAATAAGGTATGTACTTATTTAGGAGAGTTTGGCTCCTCTCCATTACATGAGAGGTCAGTGCATACTTAGGATTAAAACATGTGTCATAAAAAAAATTCAATGACCCAGATTTTAATATTTTTTAAATTATTTTTTTTATAAAAAACATCTCCTCTCACGTATCCAGTACTGGAGAGGAATCCAATTTTATTTAGGAGGGGAAAAAATGAAGGAATGTGTGACATGTGTCTAGTGATGATGTGTCATAACCTTTTTTTCTTATAGATATATAGATAAATAAATATTTAATTGAACAAGTCTCACAGTTCCATAAATTAACAACGTTACCGTTTTAATATAAACTAGCTGCTACACAATATTTATTGAAATATGTGGAAATTTAATTATTTCTCTTTCCAAATCGTATACTCCATGGTGAATCAAAAATTGAATCACAAAAATGTTCATTGGTTTGAAGTGGTTGTCCTATTTAAGACCAACTTGCTCTATTTACCTTGTCCATCAAAGACTAAGAGTCTCTTACTCTAAAACTCAAAACTTTAGCAAACCCACTAAAGCATATTTTCATTTACATCTCACATATGGCTCGTAGTGTTCCTTCATTTTCCACCATTTTCGTCATTCTTCTGCTTCTGGTTGTTACTGGTGAGT